GGAGGAAGAGGAGGAACACTGTGAGAACCACCAGCTCCGAGGGTGGGGGCGAACGGTGCTCTGGCCTCTCTCCACTTACACCTGCAGGTGGGTGAGAAGACGATCCAACGTCACTTCTTTTTTGACCAGCTCAAAGAGGAGGCGACTGGTAGGCACCATGTTCTCCAGGATAGACAAGGAGAGCTGCTGGATGGATGCATCCACTGCATTCATATTGACATAACTCATTATCTACGAGAGAAAAAACCATCCGTCGAGGGCAGGCTGAGCCTGGGGGACGAGGACAATGAGGAATACCAAGAGTACAGGCTGTGGAGGCTGCAGAAGGTGCTTACCTTCTTGATGAAGACTGTACTAAGATTTTCCCAGGAAACAAAATCATGCTCCATCAGCTCTGTGAAGGCTTTCAGGGTGTGAGCCAGCATCTCCCCTGTACTAGAGGGACAGATGAACGAAGGTAGTGAGGAGAAGAAAGGAAAGAGATTGTTGGGTTAGAAATGACTCTCACTTAGTCATCCCAGGAAGTCAGGGCAGGGGAAGTTCAATAGTTGGAAAGCTGCATTACCACGGTACAAAGATCACTGCAGACAAATTACCCCATATCCCTCCCTGTGGTTCTAAGAAACATATGCTGCACTGCCTGGTTTTAGGCTCTACATTCTCTGTGTGACAGGAGCTCAGAGGAGATGCACCACCACATCCTGAAGTCACACAGGCACTCCTATTTGGCAACTGGGTTTTTCTTGAACTGCCTGAAAATCTCTGGCAGCTAAAACCTCAGGACAGAGGGTTTATTTGGGGTGGCAGGAATGAGCAGCAGCGGAGGCCAAGATGATCACAGGAGGTTTCCTGGTAGCAAAACCCGTGAGGCTACAGATGACCCAGCCAGCAAAGGGATGGGAGGTTCAAGTCTGGGCACATTCACAAGGAGTCAGGACCACATATCCCTGGGGACCTTCCCCTGGCTGCCAGCATGCAGGGACACAGCCACAGTGCAGGCATCAACAAGTCAGGAACACGAAGAGAGTCCACTCCAACACCCAGCTTGGAGCTCATGCAGCATTAGCAAGGCAGAAGAAAAGTCAAAGAAGGTCGTGTCCTGATACTCACTCGTTCCCTTCTTCCACAATAGAGTAAATCTGTTTCAAGCCATTCCTGCTGATGAACTCTTGAGCAAAGGTAACATCCTGGGAGAGGCTTGCAAGCTTCTTCAGTGAGTCAGTCTTCACATCCACATTCTTGCTCTGGATCCCGCTGTACAACCGCTCTGCTTCTTGGTCCTACCAGGAAGGAAAGAATCAAGCCAAAGGGGCTCATCAAAAGACAGTGAGAAGCTTGAAGAAGGCTGGAAGAGCTGAAGTGCAAGTTTTGGAAGGAGTCTCAGGCTAGAGCAGCCCCAGCGAGGAGCTAGACTGAGAGACAGAGCCATCAGAGCAGAGACCAGGAGGAGCTGAGGACGGAGGTCAAGCTGGCATGACACCAAGAACACTTGATGAGTTGGCCCACGCGTCCAAAGCATCTCAAGATGATTTAGTTTCTCTTCAAACTCCCCCAAGCTCTGCCGAGGGAAAATGAAGGCTGAGCCATGTCTCCTGCCCGTGTTATTTCTGCTGGGTCTGAGGCACTGGAAGGAGCCACCACGAGCTCAAGTCACCGAGGGAGCCAGCGGCAGAGGGCTCGGAGCCCCGCACTGCCCCACCGCAGGGACACATCCCACCAGAGCACACAGCGCGGGAGGAGACGGGGGGGGGGACACAGAGGGATGTACGGGGAGGGGTCAGCGCAAAATGACTCCGTTCTTATCTCCTGGGTTTGTAGGTAGAGAGGCACGGGTGAGGCGGCGAGCTCCGGGGGGGCGGGAGGGGCGGGGGGGCTGCTCTCGACGATCGGTTGGATGTAGGTCGTCGACGTCGCGTGAGGCCTGGAAGCGCGTGTGGCGGCGTTGGACAGCTCCACCTGCGGGCACGGGTCGCCGGTCACGGGCGCGCGGCACGGCACAGCCGCGCCGTCGGGGTGCCAGACGTTCCGTGCAGGCGGGGCGCGGTACTCACGCGTGCAGACGTATTAGAGCATCGGGCGAGGGCCTTGTCTGCGGGGGCAGAGCGGGCCGTGAGAGCCGGGCCGGCGGGAGGAGGGGGGCAACACGGAGGGGGTTGGGGAGCAGGCCGGCAGTACCTGCTGGAGCTCGATTGAGCTGCGGGATGGCTACACGACCTTCTGATGAGCGATATCACCACGGTATGGGCGCGTGGCATGGCTCCGCCGGGGCTCCGCGCCGCCGCAGTCGGGTTGGTGCGCCGCCGCCCTCCCGCAGGGCCGGCCGGCCGCGCACGAGGCCTCTCGCCACAACCACGCAGCCGAGCAGGCCCGGCCTCACTGAGCTGACGCGGGTTGCCGGGCCCACCTCGCTCCGCGCTCCCCAGGGCACCCATCCAACAGGAGGACAATGCTTGGGGGAGGCGACAACCTGGAAAAGCTGTGTGTTTTGTTATTGTGTTTTGCTTTTTTTTTTTTTTAATTTTCTTTTTTTTTGCGTTATTCGCGTCAGAGGAACGCTCTGTACAAATACCGCGGCAGTTTTTTTCCTTTCCTCGCCAAAAGAAAAAAAAAAAAAAAAAAAAAAAAAAGAGAGAGAAGTATAAAAATAATCTTTATATATGAATCAAAAAGTTCATTTGCAACTGTAAATTTTTTTTTTCCTCTAGGTGTTATCCTTTTCTGGAGGTCGTCTAACTTGGCGGCGAACGTGAACGCTGGGAAGGGAGGGTGAGGGCCAGGCAGTATGCGAAGAGCTGGAGCTACACCAGAGCCAGGGAGCCTTGCAAATACACGTGCAGGACTGAGGGATTCTGGTCAGCTTCCATGTGGAGAGGGGAAGGTTCAGGGACTGGCTGCATGCAGGCTGGAAGTTCACCCTCCCTGAGCGGTCCCACACCTCAGCTGTCTCAGCAGCAGCAGCTCCCTGCTGCCAAACTGGAGCGTCCCATTGTTCCTCCCGTGTTCTTCGCGCTCTTCCCGAAGAGGCTGCTGGTGCTTTGGGGCTGCAGCAAGGAACAGTCCTTCCAGAGGAGTCCCATGTACAAAAGGATGGCCCGAGGAGCCACCTCAGGGACGCAGGTCCAAAGCACATACTCCTCTCACCTCTCCAGGCTCTTCTGACTTTTACCTCCCTTAGTGCTGGTGCTGCAGCTGGTTGTGTGGGTCACAGGCAGTGAGCAGCTACGTGGAGAAATTAAACATCAGCTGTTTAAGTGGATGGCTGGAAGCTACCTCTCTGCAAGAGCCCACCACGGCCTGGCCTGGCTCTCTCTTCGGCAGTTTGCGGAGCAGGAAAGGCAGGACAGCTGCTACCACCGTGGTGGCAGGAAGATGTGCAAAACTAAAGACACTCAAATACAGGATCTGACCGACACCCAAAGCTGGGACTTGCAAAATACGACACAAATCCATCAGCGCGTTTTTACCTCCAACTAAACTGCACGGGGTCCGAGCCTGGTACCAGCTGATGATCCTAAAGAACCCAACAGCAGGCCTTCCATTACAAAGCAAGGAAGAAAATTTTGTGGAAAAACGGTGCAGAGAAAGCATCGCACTGGGTAAAGACCTGCCACAGGATCAGGGATTGGGAGCGTGGGTATGGACACTAGAGGAGCAAATTCAAATATACAGAAAACCTGATCCTGAGAGAAGAAGGGAGGAGAAAAGCTCACTATTTGGACAACACCTACGTAACCTGTCACAGCAAAGTACTACTGAATTGTTACTGCTTGGTCGCCTTTCAGACAGTTGCAGGCTCAAGTGCAATGGTTGGAGAATACAGCTATTTGCAAATATGAGCAGGCTCTGATGTCCCTGGAGTACCTTACAGGCACCAGCTGGAGCAGTCTTATCCTTTCAGACATCTCTCCACTCGGACAAAAACAAAAATTAAAAAACAAACCATACTGGCACCTCTTCTTTAGCCCTGTAGAAACAGCACAGCTGCTGGACAAGGAGCTGGAGCCCCCGGGGTTGTGCATCAGCAGACTGGTGAAAGCAGAACCAGCATTCCTGCTGAAGCACAAGCAGGGAAAGGCTCAGCTCCTGGGTGCTACTAGGAGCACTCAGCTCCTGAGTCCCACTAGGAGGCACAGCTGGCTAAAAAAAGTGCTTTTTCTTGTAAAACGTACTAGCTTGGTCTGAAATCACTGGCAGAAATAGACACTTTGGTGCCATTCCCCCCGCCCCCTGATGCCTTTCAGAAACACAACTACCTCAATCCGAACCACTAACATGGAGAAATCTAACTAACAACCTCTGGGCTTGTGAACTGACCACGGTATTAGGGCTCCTTGTAGCAGCTGGTACCTAGGAGGTACAAAGTGCCTCTGGGAGTGCAGGAAAAACCAAGGCATGCAGATTGGAGGAAGCTCAGAGAGGCACGTGGGCAAACTCTACAGGTGAACTGGGAACACTCAAAACACGGAGCCTTTGAGGTGAGGCCCAGGATCCAGTGGAGAGCTGCAGGGGCCAAGCTGCACGTGCACCTTGCACGAGCACCAGAGGAAGAAGCAAGTTATGGGGAGGCTCCCAGCCTGCAAGTCCACATCTCTTGGTTCTGAGTCCATATGAGAGCATCTCTGAATTACTCAGCCATCGAGCTCTAGCACAAAAGGAATCCAAAAATAGACACTTTCCAAAGAGTTACAAAACAGTCTGTGTTTGCAGGGCTCACAGCTGCACTGAGAAGTCAGAGGTTGAGGACAGGCACATCAAAGAGGTCGCAGACGCCTTCGCTCTCATCCAGGTTGTAGATGTAGTCGTGATCTCCAGGTGGAGGGGAGAGGCGGAGCAAGGGAGCAAACACTGGGGAAAGAGAAGCCCAGGGTTGGTTACAAAACTCAGCACTGCCACCCCGAGCCAAGAGCTGCCAAAGGGCACCGAGCTGTGCAGCCACCTCACAGTAACAGCCAGTGAGGTTGCTTCAATCAGCCTTGCAGTACTAAAGAGACTCCTGGCTCTCACACCTCTCTCAGGGGCTGTCAGGACAGCGAGAACACAGTCTGTGTCCAGAGCCCAGAAAAGATGAGGGCAAGTCTGCAGTCTGAGGGCTGCCAGTTGGGTAAAGTCACACAGCATGGTCTTCCTCCCGGGAAGGCCACACCATGGCAGGAGACTCTAAGACTCACCTTCAGATGACATCAGCTCTTCCAGCAGCTCAGAGTTCATACATTCTGGGGAAGAGACAAACATGGTAGCAAAACACTCTGCTCTCCTGGTCTGCTCATGGGTAGTTCCCCACCTTCCCAGGGTTCTCCCCACCCTTCTTATCCCTTCTCTGGCTAAGGCACAGTATGTACAGAAGGCAGTGGTGAAAAGAAGCTTGGGCTTAAAACAGAGATAAAAGTAATTTCAACACAAAACACTATGGGAGAGCTCCAGCTCTTGCAGCTTAAACTGCACAGCCTTAAAGCATCTGCCAGTGCCAGGGCAGCATCACTGGGATCACACAGGGATGAGAGGCTGCATGGAACATGCTGCAAGGACTGTCTCTCTGAGCTCTGTAGTGCTGTTTTTTTCCAGTCCTGAGTTCTGCCTCTGTAGCTGTTGATTCTGTTTTGTCCTTCGCTCCTGGATCTTTATCTTCCCACTCTGAACTGGGAAGAATACTCCATAAAGCCACATACATTACCATAGACAGCAAACATCTCCTTTTTTAACGGAGTCCACATAGTCACACAGCACAGTTACTTTGGGTAAGCTAGGTCTTCTACATGGCTGGGGCTCTGCAGCAGTTTATGTCTCACGCTGTGAACTCAGACTTACTTTTCAGATGTACTTAGACATCATCAAGGCTTCATCCACTACCTGCAGCAGCAGGTGCTGGGCAAGGAGGAAGGATGTTCTCCGGGCTGACTGCTGAGCCCAGGGCTCGCAGCACACAGATTGGAGGCTCACACGTGTGTGTGTTTGGGCTTGTGGGGTTTTTACACAAAGGCAGCACCTTCACAAAGCATCTGATAGAGCACAAAACTAGGGACAGCTGTACATCTCCTGTGACCACCACAAAAGTGCCTGTGTGTACTCAGCTCTGCTGAGCTGTGGGGGCTACAAAGTATTCCACCAGCACTGAAGGGAAATAAATGTGCTGATAAAAAGAATTTCCTGGTGTAGCTTTATGTTAGACCAAATTCCTTAACCTTTCCTACCCGTAGCCCAGCATCTCTCCCAGCATTAGGCAGCAACCCCTAGACATTCCTTGGGCAGAGTGAGAACTCCAAACACATGTAAGAGCATCCTCTCCTACTCTCCAAAATTACCAGCCCCACCAACACCACTGAGGGGTGTTTCAAAGAAAGAACACTATCTCCCTAGAATATTTGCTTGGATTAGTCTCAGGCAGGCTACAGCTGAAATGAGACTTAACAGGGATTTTTGTTTTCCACAGTACTGACAAGCTGAAGGAGGAGGGGAAGGCTGAGCACAGACAGAGTAGTGTCAGCATGGGGACAGGAGAACCCTGTCAGCACATGGCAAGACAAGCTCTAACAGAGGTTGCTGGAAACATGGAGACAGAAAAATACATCCAGAAACCAGTAATTTTAAAAGTGCCTAACTACAAGTAGAGGGCCAGCAGCCAGCAAGGACCACAAGCACCTTACAAAACCACATCCACAAAATAATCCAAAAGGGAGTGAGTCAAACAAACTGTCCCACTTCTGTGGGTAGATGGGCACACAGCAAAGCCGTGGTCAGGGAATGAACATACCTCTCATTGGATCAAACATCTCTGACAGCTCTTTGGGAAGTTCCAGTACTGCAAACACAACAAACCAGATGGTTTGGATCATTACATGAAGAGTCTGAAATGCTTTACAGCAGAATCATCCACAAACCTCCTGCACTCCTTACACACCCAAATCATCCTACGCCATCCAGAAATTCTGCTCCCACACTCCCTGTCAGATATTTCTGCTGCAATGATAAGCAATAAAACACTTAAGCTCTACTACTTTAAGATAAATTTGTAGGAGCCCAGGGACACGAACATGTTATCACAGCCAGAAGCTCTGCAGTAACTGCCTGCCTGTAAACCTCACACGGTGTCAGCTTCCACACGCTGCCTCGATTCACCTCGTGTAAGAGGATGCTTTTATCTCCCCGGGCCAGCCTGCCATTTCCTGGCATAAAGCTCCAATGGTCCTTTTTTAAAGCCCATTTCACCTCACCAAGCACATCAGGGAGCTCCCCAAATATACACTGCAAGATCACTAAGAACAAAAGATCTAAGGACAGATGAAGCATTCCTGAGTAAAGGAGGAAAACAGAGACAAGAGCTATCCTAATACAGGAAAACTCTCCATGACTTACAAAGGGATCTCAGTGATGGTTGGAAATTCTATAGCTTCATGTGGTCTCCAAAACAGAACCTTACACTACAGAAAGGACTGAAAGGGAATAACCCTACACGTACCAGTAGAGATGTGTCATGTGGATGTCCCTCACAGATTTTCTAGTACTGATGTCAAAGAAAGCAGCAGGACACTAGACAAGACATCTCACCAGGTTCCCTGGCACCCTCACAGGGAAATGCCTACTCATCCTTGGCAGAGCCTGGCTGACAGCAGAACGGAGCTCAGCTCCTTCCTCCAGGCCCAGCAGCCTTTCCCTCACTCCATGATTTCCCTCGCTGCATGATTTTGGAGCAAGACATGAAACGAGGGGGCATACTCACTTCCCGTGGGGTCTGGCTTGATCGGCTCAAAGGAGGTAGAGGTGCTGGGCAGGACGGAGCTGCTGTCCAGGGAGGCAGAGGACTGGAGCAGCTGTGCATCCAGCCCAGCTGGCTGGCTGTCGGAGTCGCCGCTGCCCTTGGACTCTGCCACAGGGACATCGCACTCTGGAAAGAGCCACACACGGGAACGTCATCTCCCACCAGCCCCAAAGCAGCTGTGGCACAGGCTCAGCCCACGCTGGCAGTGCTGCCCAAGCACAGGGAGAAAGCTTCCTGCTTCCCTCCAGGCCCTGCTGCACTTCTGCTGGAGAGCAGTCCTGGCGGTGCCAGGCTGCACACGAGCCAAGCACGAGCTCTCTACAGCCTGGCAGCAATGAACAGCTCCACCAGGAGAAGCATGGCCAGTGCAGCCAGGGAAGTTATTATCCTGCTTGGGGCTGAGGCTGCACTCGGAATACTGTGTCCAGCTCTGGCCACTGTCCAGTTCATGAAAGCTGTGGAAGATTCAGCTGAGGGCTACCAAGTTAGCCATGGGTCTAGGGCACGTGGTCTGCAAGGAAGAGTGGAGAGAACTGGGCTTGATCAGCCAGGCAAAGAGAAGTCTAAGGGTGACCTAACAGCAGCTTGAAGCTACCTGAGTGGCAGTTACCAAATTTAAGAACTCAGTGGTGTCAAAAAATGTAACATGCACAACAGGCACAATATGAGCTCAAAGGATCCAAACTTCAGGATAAAGGACTGAGAAGGTGCTGCAGCCCTAAAAGGGCTCACCAGGGAAAGGGGGGATCTCCACCACTGAGGGCTTTCAAAATTTAGTGGACAAAGCCACAACCAACCTAATCTAGCATTTTTGACAACCTTTATTCAAACTGAAAGCTGAACTTGAGACTCAAAATGACCCTTTTGCAAGCTCTTGCTCATCAATGAACCTGCATGATCTCCCCTACAGGCTGGCACTACCCCTCAAGCCAAGTGCCTCATTTCCCTGAACACAACCAGTCCCACTAACCAGGGCAAAAGGATGGGCTGCAGCAAAGGCAGAAGTGCCCCTTTACCAGGAGCTGTCAACGCTGCACATCCGGCAGTGCCAGCCCCAAGTGGGACAAGGAACCCTCCTTTGCCAGCCACCAGCCTGTTCCTGCCTCCTCCAGCTCCCTCTCACCTGTGCCTGCGTTTTTCTGTGTGGGAGGCCCATGGTCCTGAGTGCTGGTGGGTGTTGGTGTGGAGGGCTGGGTGCTGCTGGGAACAGAGGCCTCCTGGAAGTGGGTGAGCGGTGGGATTGGTGTTTTCGAGGGTGCAGCTGCCTGGCACTGAATGAGGTCTTCAGGGGGAGGGACAGGGAGTACGACAGGAGGAGAGCTCCAAGTATCTTTGTTGACTAAGAGAACATCAATGGGACCACTCGTGCTCTTCAGATGGATCTGGTATTTCTTCTGCCCGTTTAGGGCCTGGGAAAAGTCAAAAGCAAAAAACACGGACATACATTAAAAGCCCTTTTCGAACAGAACATCAGTTTCCCACAGACAAGATGTACATGTGTGCACACACACACACCTGCCCCCTGCCCACGTGTTTGTCACTCACCTCAGGGATGGGCACCTCCAAACGTGTGCCAGATGGGGCTCTAATCACAAGGAGGGTGTCTCCTGTGAAAACAGACCAGTCAGTGCTCAGTGAGCACAAGCTGGGACCCTCCCCAAACCCCTCATCTCCTGGCAGTCCTCCAGGATTACATCTACACCCCAAGCACATCATGCAGCTCCCAGTGTGCCAACAGCCCAGGGCACAAAGTTTCTCCCAGTGCAACCCCAAAGTTTTTCAGCAGTGTCCTTATCAAGACTATTCCTTTTCCTTGGAAGGGCTGGCTTCAATTCACTCCTAAGAATATCGGAATCCTAAGGGAAGTATCCTTCATTCTGCTGTCACAAGCTTTTGTATGTGAATTATAAATAAAACAGCTGGACTGCCAGTGGAGAGATGGGGTCAAAGCATGCTCAGGAGCCAGGCTGCCAACCTCAGGTTGGTGTACCAACACCTGAAACCAACACTCCCCAGTCCCTACTGGCAAGAGCTGCCTGGTGTTAGTTGTGCTGGACCCACCACAGAGCCCAGAATGTGTGGGGCTGGAAGCCAGGCTGACAGCATCCTTCCTTTCCAAGTCCTGCAGCTCCTTAAGACCTGTGCCCTGATAACCCAAGTCACAGGTGAGCAGCTCCCAGCCCATATCTGGGTTTAGAGAAATGTGAACAGAGAAATACCAGCTCTGTGAACATCTGACATATTTAGATCAAGCAGCCTGCAGCTTTCACTTTGAATGTTTAAGCTTTAGGGTGGTTAATATTCACAGTTCACCAGTATTCTGCATTAAGCTTCACTTGATAATTAACACAGAAGATCCCCAGAGCGATGAGAGAGCGTGGAGAGCAGAAAAGCACATCCCTTAATTTCAGGCAGGCAACCAAAGGTCAGATCAGCAAAAGGTAAAGGGATTAAAAATAACATAGGATTTGTCAATTAGATGGGACTTGTTTAACAAATCTACTCTTAAGAAAAATGTAAGAGGCATAAAAAATGGATAGTAAAGCTCAGAGACACCAGCTTGAGCTTTAAGACCTGTTAGTCTCAAAGACAGGTAATGGGCTTTTATCTGCCTTGACAGCCACATCCCTAATAATTTTACAAAACAGCTCACAGTGCATTTCCACTTCCTTTTTGAATCTGCAAGTGCAAAATGCATCACAGCAACAGATGGGAAAATTATATTTCCCAGTCACTAAAATCTAACATATTCTTACTTCTCTTTTTATTTTTTTTAATTAATCCAAGTAATGAATTTGTATTTGACAAGAGTCCAAGCATGGAAATCTTGGAGAAAGCAAGATCAATAGCAGTTGATTAGAAAAACCAGGATCTGAAATTCAGCCTGCACCACAGTTCAAGAACACGAGAGGTCCAACAAAGAATCTCTGTAAGACTCAGATGTTCAGGAGAGGAAAAAGCATCATGTAAGGCATATTCATAGAGGAGAACTGGACAGACAATGGAAAAACACGGACTAGCCCTCTGTTTTAGAGGGAATTCAGACCTGCCCTCAGTAAGATCTAATCTCTGCATATTTTGGTGAGGTCTGACCTCAGACACAAACCGGTTTACAAAAACCAGGTGCAATAAAATGCAAAACACTCAACCAGCCAAGCAATGAGCTGTCTGCTGGCCTCCAGTAAACTCTTCCAGGCTGCTACGAGTGATGTGGCCCCAAGCACTGTCAAACTGAAAACACAATCCCTGCCCCCAAAGGTGCTGCTTCAACCAGCAGCAGCAGTACAGCTGAGGGAGGGGGTGGTGCAGTTGTTACACCAGCGGGGACCTGAGCAGTGTAAAAGCTGGTGAACAAGGAAAGCACAAAGGCAAGAGATGACAAACAGAAGGGCTGATGAAGTGCAGGGTGAGAAGAGGGCTTGGAGGAGACAGGAGAGTCAGACAGGGGTGAGATTACGCGTGGCTGGGGGCGGTCAGGATGAACAGCTTCAATCTCTGCAGCAAGCAAGCAGATGCAGGTTGCCAGGTCAGGAGAGGTCGGGTGTCCACCGCAGCAGAAAGGAGCTGTGACTCTGCACCACTACAGCTGAGAAGAACAGTTTGGGTAGTGCAGGCTGCCCCAGTGCACGATGACCACCAGGGTTACTTTGGCCTTACATCTATCACTGAAATCAGCAACAGGAGAAACAAAAGACTCCGGTGGGTTTTCTTCACTCTTGCCCCAAAGAGACTGAATGTGAGACTTTTGATATGGGTCCCCACTCCAACTTTAGGAAAGCAGCACACAGGGGAGTGAGGGCAGGGCAAGTGCTGTGTTCCCTTCTGTCCTGCTCTTCTCTATCTCTTTCTTGCAGTCTTGTTGGCAGGGAAGATGATGCAGCTGAGGGACCACCTTTTATACTACTTCCCTGCTTATAGCCCAATTCCTACCATGCAATAAAATGTTTTCTATTATAAGAACATTGCCCACCCAAGCCCTTAAAATAAAGGATTTCTAACATAACACTCATACACCCACACAGTGACTCCCCAGTAAAAAGACTTCCTTAGGAGCAAGAGCTATATTCCTTTAAACACAAGTTAAAATACTGCCTGCCCCCTCTGATGGTGACAAGAAAGCTACAGTTCAGTGGTACAGGATGGCATCAGAGCTCACACTACATTTAACTTGATGCTGGGCAGCCTGTGGTATGCTGCCCCCTCTTCCCTGGAGAAAGGACAGCAACTGGGAGAGCCTGAGAGAAGTGCAGAGTCACATCTTTATCATGGAGCACCAATTCCTCACCTGTGAAGCACTTGCAGATGTCTTCATGTGTCACATATGCTAATGTTTCCAAGGTTAAGGAGAAAGGCTGCAGCTTCCTGCACAGACAGAGAGCTCAAAGGACACCTGACTTTTCCTTCATGAGCACAGGGAATGCCAGTCCCAGAGGTGTCTCCATGCCACACTGAAGTGGTCTGCAGGTGAGGTCTGCAAGCTACGTGCTCGTCAGAGCTGACATCCTGAGATAGTTAAGCCACAAGAGCAGCTCTGCACGCAAGAAAGTGCCACCTGTGACTCAAAAAGAAGCACTTTTCTCACCATGGTAAACATTACAGTGTGTTTTGCTTCCACAAGACAGAGGAGAAGCTGTGCACTGCAGAGAAAGCAGCTTCCCAGGCTGAACAGTTACTCTAATTCCAAAGCCAGGCACTGCCTTCTGACTCTTGCAGTGCAGCTTCTCCAGCAGCAACAGCTCCCCACCAACCCAGCCCTCAGGTCCTTGCTTTCCAGCCCAGCAAGTGAACATGAGTTCACACAAAGGATATCGACTGTTCTGCATGTCTTCTGTAACGTTTTTGATGCTCTGCTGAACCCACATCTTCTGCTGCTCCAGCTCCTGCTCCCGCTGCTCCAGGTCCTCTATGTCTGCCTTCAGCTCGATCAGTTTGTGAGCTATTTCCCGTGTGTTGCAGCCAGGACCCACCCCTCTGGGCAAAGGAAAAAGGAGTGAGATGCATCAGCCTCTGGAGGCAACCACAACAGCCCCAACCTCTCAGAGATGTTTCCAGCCCCTTACTGCCACCCCTCACAACATCAAGGACAGGTTCCCTGGAAAGCCTCGTCTGTACCTGCTCTAGATCCTCACCTTCCAGAACACCAGTGTTTCTACAATACATTTTTCTACTTCCCACAGACCAGCAGGGCTCTTCCCCATCTCCAGTGCCATGACAGGTGTCTTTTCCAGCCCAAGGCACTGTAAATATTTAGTTTGTACCAAAATAACAGCTCTGTTGCAGGAGACATGCCGTACATATTTCAGCTTTCCTCACTGCTGCCGTCAGCACAGCCCAGCTGGGGGAAGCACAGGCACGGACCACTGAGGAACCTCCCTCTGCACAGGGCATTTTGACCCCGCTGTCACTCAGACCTGGACTGGAAGGGACCTGTGAACGATTTAGACCATCTCTGCCACTCACTTCCACTGGATACTGTTCTTGGATTTCTTCTCGATCAACCCGATGCCCTCCAGGACATTTGTGATATCGTAGATCCGTCGCTTCTGTCGCACAGCCAAGGTATCTGCAGCCTGCAAAAAAGGTTAGACACTTAACTCCACACTCTCAGTCATGCTGAGCTCCTTCCTGCCCGTCAGACCAATTCCTGGCCAAGTACTTCACTCCCCATCTCATACCTCTGCTGTTCCAGCGCTTCAAGTTACAGAGACATAACTTGTCACAATGTCATGGGACCACAGGAAGAAGTCACTCATCCTTCACCCCTTTTCTTACCCTGCAACCTCCCCACTAAGCACAAACCAAGTTCCAGCCATCCTGCTCAGAGTGGATCCAAAAATCACCATTCCCCAGCAGCAAAGCAGTGCTAGAAAACACTAGTTCAGCAGCCTGAAAATTCAGTGCTCCTTCAGGGCAAAAGAGATGGGGATGGGAAGGAGAATGCTGAGGGCTGTGTGCGTGACTGGCAACAGTTCTGTGAAGTCAATACTCAAAAGGCCTTTTCTAAATCAGATCTGATGTTGCTTGATAGAGAACACTTTTTTGAAGAGGCACTTGAAAAGATACAATTTTTCCTCTGTTTAAAAGATAGGATGCCAGGTGGAGAGCAAGCATGAGCTGCCCTGGGGCTTCCCTGCCTTGCTCACACAGCTCTCCTCCCCTCAGGTTTTGGGACATAAAGAACTGCATCGTTTTCACTACCACGTGGCAACCTGGCACCAGCAAGAGTTAACGTGTGCATAGCCAGGACCAGCAAAGTCAGTGGCAGCAGCCAGAGAGGGTCAGCACAGGAACCACATCCCTCCTCACTCACCAGCAACGAGCCAGGACTTTGGAGACCCTGCACTGCACAGCTGAGCAAATCACAGTAACCAACATGAGCCCACTTAATGGACATCTGAAGCAGGAAAATATTGCCAAATCCAAAGAGACAACAATTTGGCACAGGCAAGGAGCCAGGAGACTCCTTCAGCCCCTGCACTGTTGGGGCTTTCTGGCACTTGACTGCTGCCTGTGAAGGGTCAGAGCACTTGCACACATGCCCATGTAAGAGGCACTTGTAGAAACCATAGCAAAGGAACTTCACTTATAGAAAAAACCTGGGATTGGTTACTTCCTCTAGGTGAAGATCTTAAAAAATGAAGAAGCAAGACGTATTCACAGAGCACTTCTCCACAGGCTAAAGGCATCGGGGACAACTTTGGCAGGTGAATGTGACCACGCTCCCCCTCCTGGTGTGTGCCGGGAGGTCTAAGCGCTGCAGGGAGGAACAGTTTCTATAGTTCTCGGAGGCTTTACAGGGCTGGATCATTATGGTGTCGCTGATCGAGCAGCACCTTGGTGAGGGGCAAGAGCGCAGAAGAGAACGAGGCAGTCAAACCGCGTTCCAAACGAAGGACACGAACACCTGCAACGCCAGGGAAGATTCCGGGGAGGGCAGAGCGGCTGGGACAGCCCGATGGGGTGGGGAGAAGGGCTCGGATGGAAGAGCAGGAGAGGTGTGAGGGCTGCACGGTTGGCAGCTCTGCCGCACCCCCGGGGACCCCGCCTTCCCTGCCCCTGGAACCACAGGACCCGTCAGCGTTGGAAAAAGCCCTCCAAAGACCACTCTGATGCCGTGCGACCATTAAGCCCGGCAGCCGCCAACCCACCGCTAACCCGTCCCAGCACCAACATCCACACGTTTCTGAACGCGCTTCCTCCCGGCGCGGTGACCCCACCGGCTGCCTCCGGCCAGGCCGGTTCAAAACCACAGTGGGCCCGGCCACCTTCCCGTGAAGAGTTTTTTTTTCCTAGTTAACCGCAATCTAAGCGCAACTGCTGCATCCGTGGGCGCTGGCCGTGCCCCGGGCTCCGTTCCAAACCCGCTCGGCGTGCCGCCGGAGGCCTCCCGCTCCCCCAGCAGGGGCATGCTCCCCCCGCGGACCACCCCCGGGCGGCGGAGCCCTCGCCCCCCGCCGGCAGCCCCCGCCAACCAGCTTGAGGTCGAGCACGCCGTCCTTGCCTCTGCAGGCAAAAGCGAGCACAACTTGGTGGTGAGGCAGCCCCAGGCTCTTCTCGTGACGGCTGGGTCGGCGCCCGCAGCCACCCTGCCACCCGGGGGGCTGCGCCCGCGCACTCCGCATAACTGCCCGCCGCCGGCTCCGGGGTCCGCGCATCCGCTTCCGGGCGCGCGGGGCTCCCGCGGGAAACCTCGCGGGGCGGGGACAGGGGGCGGGGACGGGGGACTCCCCACCGCCGCCCCGCGGGGGCCGGGGGTGGTGGCCTGGCGGTCCGGGCATCGCCCCCGGCGGCGGGGGTCCCTCCGGGGTAAGCCGCGGGGTGCGCCCATCCCCTCGCCGTCCTGCGGTACCAAAGCCAAACCCCCGCCCTGTGCCCGGCTCGCACCGCCCGGTGACAGGGGCGATTTGCTGCTCCGACACACCCGGGAGTCCTCCACGCTGGGAAGGAATCCTCCAGCCTGTGCCTCGTGGAAGGCAGTTTGTGGCAGGGGGATATCTCCAGGTCCATCCCCAGCCGTGGAGGGTCCATCCCCGCCTCCACACCCTCTCGCCTTCGGGTCAGGCTGGCACAGTGGATCCTTTCCCGGCTGGTCCAGCCTTAGGGGGGTTCCCACTACGGATGGGCTGAGGTCTGACAGGGGCACCCCGGCATCCCGCTGTCCTCCCCGAGCCAGCGCTGGGAGCACGGAGAGGGGCTGTGTGTCCGGGCGAACGGGGGTGCAGGGGAGGGCACGCAGGGTGTGACTTCCAGGACGAGAGCAAATAGCCTCAAGTTGAGGCTCCCCTCAGGAGTGGGTTAGATTGGATATTGGGAAAAATATCTTCACGGAAAGGGTGGTCAGGCACTGGAACAGGCTGGCCGGGGCAGTGGTGGAGTCGCCGTGCCTGGAGGTGTTCGAAAGGCGTGTGGATGTGTCACTTGGGAACCTGGTTTAGTGGTGGGTTTGTCGGTGCCGGGTTAACGGTTGGACTCGATGATCTTGGAGTGCTTTTCCGACCTAAACGATCCTATGGTCTCCACTCCCGAGCCCTGCGGCCGTCGCGGTGCTTTCCCGTGTCCCCCCCTCCCCTCCGCCCCCCGTTCCTGACGTCCTGAGCGCGGCTGCGGGAACACAATGGGGCCCTGAGGAGCGCGGCTGCTCCGGCTGAGGAAACGGCTGCCGGCTTCCTCCGCAGCCCTGCCCTGGCCCCCGCAGCTCCACACAGCCCGGACACCATGGGCATGTCTGCGGAGGACGAGCGCGCTGCCAGCCCCAGAGGTAACGGGGGTGATGCGCCCCGGGGAGCCGGCGAACTGGGCAGGGGAGGGATGCTACTGCTTGCAGCACATTCTGGGGGCTCTCCTGCCATCTGCCTCACCAGACCCCGGACTTATTTTCTGTGCCGGGAGCTGGTGCCTTGTGTTCTTGGGTGGGGTGGAAGCCTGGCTGTGCTTCCCGATGGTGATATCTGCGCCGGGGGCAGCGCTGCTCCCTGCACATCTTATCCTCAAAGCTGCTGTCCTCCTCCGAAGCCCCCCGGACCTGAGGCCTGCCCGTGGCTTCCCAGCAGAGCAGGAGCCTGGCTTGGCACTGGGTGACATCCCTGCGGGGCTGCAGGGAGTGGCTGGGGGGGGGGTGGGGGGAGCGATTAAACTGTCCCCTCCTCGCTGGGGACAGGGACTGGTGTGTGACAACTGTGCTGGTTCTCAGCCCTCTGCTTTGGCCAGGAGGCCTTTGACATGGCTTAGGACCCTGTACCAAGGGGAACACTGGGCCCCCCACACTGTGGGTGCTTTTGGAAGCTCAGGAGCCTCCCATCCTCACCTTTGCCTGGTTCTCCTTTGTGGGAGAGCTGCCACCTCTCCATCCCTCCTGCTGACTCACTGCCAGAGTCTCAGCCCTGCTGGGGACTTCCCAGGTGGCATCAGACCCACTCAGACAACCCACCATTGTGTTTGGGGGAGCAATGGGGATGTGTGCTCGGCCTGGGGACAGCCTGGGGACTCAACTGGCAGGCTGAGTCACAGTTTCCCAGGGCAGCCTTCTCACTGCCACAGCCACTGTGACAATACAGGTCTGTAGCTGTGGTACCTTGCGGGGCCCTTCTGGAAGTACCCGCTTGGTGCCATCCTGTCCAGCTTCCCACATCGGGGTGTGCTTGGAAGTCTGCTGGCAGCAGCTTCCCTCCTCCGGCCTCAGGGGCTCTTCCTGCCCCACTTCGTTGTGCTCACTGACCCCTGGCTTCATCCCCAGACGAGGAGTGGCCGGAAGCAGAGAAGGCTGAGAAGCTGGCGAGAGGAGCCGCTCTGAAATGGGCTTCAGGGGTGTTTTACCGCCCCGAGAAACTGGAGGGGCTCGGGCATTACCGGAGCCGAGAGACACAGAGGAACAGCTCCATCCAGTCCCGGCTGAAGGTGGGTGTTTGCCACAGCCCAGCACATGGACACCCGCAGCCTCACCGCCTCTCCAGGCAGGGATCTCAGCCAGGGTGCCCTCTTGTGCGTTGAATCATCTTTCTGTCCACTTTGGGCAAAATCTTTTCCTTTGGCTGGCGCTTTGTGGGGGAAATGGCAATTGTTTTGGAGAAAAGATCTGGTAACCCCCACCTGCTGCCCTATTCTCAGGCAGTGTCTGAAGTGTTAGAACGAGTCTCCCATGTTTCTGATCATCCTTCAAAATAAAACACCGAGGGGGTTCAGCACATCCCACGTGCAGGAGTCAGCACTCCCCATCACTGCCCCATCCCAGCACCAAAGGCTGCCCTTCCTCACAGCTGGGAGGAGGCACAGAGCTCCAACCTGCCCCTGCCTTCTGGTCCCCACACGGGAAATTCCATTTCTACACGTCTGCAAGGGCTGTTCCAGTCCCCCTGCCCAACTTCCTTCCTCAGAGTGACCTTTTTACATGACCCAAGGAATGACTGACCCTGGACCCAATCTGTCTGAGCACTGCAGCCTTCTCCTGATTATTTTGGAGATGGTTTCTCCTACTCTTAAGTGTGGTTGAATTATCCACGAGGCAACTTGTTTTAAGTGATGTGGCCTCAGAGAAAGCAACTTGTTTCTGGTGATACTGGGTAGAAGGACAGTGGCACCAGGAGATGGGCATTAAATGGGTGGATAATAGGGTGTGAAGATGTACCAGTGCCCCTGCAGGGCTGGAAATAATGGAAATCCCTTTTGGAGGAGGGTTTTTACAGCCACTGAGGTACTTCAAGCCATCCATATGCCTGGGATGGTACACACAAGGGCCCTGTGGCCTTCTGCTGTTTTGCAGCAGCAAAGTAGTATTTTTAAAGGAGACATCTAGTTACTGCTCATCCTGTGCTCTTGGTCACCCCAAAGTGATGCCCTTCTCCCACCTCATGCACAACAGTCATTGCCCCTCACCCCACCCCCTATGAGCCATTCCTGTTGCTGGAGGGGGTTCCTAGAAGCTGGGTGTGCAGTGGAGTGGGGCTGTCACAGAAGGTCCAAGAGATGTGATGGTCTGAGGTTGTGATGACAGGGGCAGGTGTGACCTTGTGGGGCTGGGAGGGTGCCTGCAACACAGACTGTGCAGGGCCAGGACAGTGTGGGACTCCTCCTGCCTTCTGGGGCTGCTCCACTGCCCCTCCATCCTCTTCTGCTCCCCAGTCAACCGTCCAGTCCTACCTGGAGGGGGTGAGTGCAGGGCTGGAGCAGCTGCGGTCGGCGGCGCAGGAGGTGCAGAGCGTGTGCCAGGACCTGGGGGCTGCACGCTGGGCCCTGCTGGACAGCGCTGACCACTTCCAGGGCCTGCAGCAGATGAGGGCGCTGGTGGAGAAGCACGTCCAGCTGGCCTCCGTGGTCCAGGTGCTGCCACAGATCTTCTCGGGTAAGGCACTGGCCCAGTCCTGTTGGATTTGGGCTGGAAGGCAGAGGGGAGAATTTCAGTCCAACCATGGGCTCCGTGCAGGGCTGGCAGCAAAGCTTGAGCAGGTCGCTCTGGCTTTGCCTGTTGGGTTTGGAAAGTCTCCATGGATGGAGATTTCACTGCCTCCCCAGGGCCTGATCCAGCACGGTGTTCCCAGAGCCCCAGACCTCAGACCCTTCCCCTCACTGTCTCCCTGATAAGCTGCACCCACGTCCCTGGTGCAAACCCCCTTCGCCCCCCTCGCTGAGTCCTGGCATCTCTCCTCCCTCTCCCACAGTGCAGGAGGTTTTTTCCCATACCCTGCAGCTGCTCCACGGGCAGCGCCTGCTGGAGGCCCACGCGGAGCTCATGATGGTGGAGCACCTCCGGGATGACATCCTCTCCCAGCTGCACCTCCGCGGGCTCTCCAGTGCCCAGACAACCGTGCTGTCCTACTTCAGCGGCCTGCAGCAGCTCAACGAGACCCTGGCCAAGCAACTGTGGGACATCGTGGGCAGCAGCCTGCGGCTGGTGCGGGAGGACCCCGTCCTGTTTGTCACCGCTGTAAGGATCATCGAGCGGGAGGAGAAAATAGATGATACTCTGCTCCTGGAGGCCACCTTCCTGCCCCCTGGCCGCCCAAAGGGCTGGAGGCAGAAGTTCTACCATGTCCTCCAGGACACCATCACGGGGCCCCGCTTCTGCGCTGCTCACGTGGACGCTGAGGGGCCGGGGCTGGCCAGGCACCTGGCAGCGCTGCAGAAGGACATCGTGTCTGAGCTGCGTGTGGTGAAGGACCTGATGGTCCAGTGTGTCCCAGCTCACTACAACATCCTCAGTGTCTGCACTACCACCTACCACCAGGCCCTCACCAGCCACCTGCAGGAGATCCTCCGGGAGGACCTGGACAAACAGGGGCTCTTCCTCCTCCTCGAATGGGCGCTCCACGTGTACCACAGGTCAGCACCAAGCCTGGCACCAACAAAGCAGGGGTTGTTGTGGAGAGCTGGGTTGTTCACTGGCACATGGGTGGGTTGGGAGAGTGGCTCTGGCTACCAGGGGATGACCAATAGGAGGACAGAGGGACAGGTAGGAAATCTGGAAAACACAGGTCTTCCCAGCCCTGATCCACCTCTGCCTTCCAGCCCAGAGATGATGGGTCACCCTGACCTTCTCCCAGAAGTGGATGTTTCTGCTCTGGGTCCCTTGATGTCCCCTGAGCTTGTGGATCAGACAGAGAGGAGATATGTGGTGAAAGTCAAGGTGAGTGGAGCAGGGACCCCAGTGACCACCACTGAGCCAAGCATCTGCTCTGACAGCAGCCCCAGACCATGAGCCTGTGGGACGAGGCCCAGGACTCACTGCTGTGCTGTGTTGGGTCTCAAGGGAGTTGGTTCTTGACTTCTTGGGCCTCCTGTGGTGGGTGTCCATCCCGCAGGCCAGCGTGCTAGAGTGGATGCAGAGGACCCTAGAGGTGGAGTTCAAGGAATGGTTCAGGGAAGAGGAACCTGAGACAGACCACCAGGGATTCTTCCAGTCAGCCCTGCCTGTCATTGTCATGCAGGTGGGTCCCCAGCACCACGGGTGCAGCTGGAGCATGGCCATGCTAAGAGCTCCCAAAAAGAGGGCCATGGCCTGCAGGCTCTCCCTGACTCACCCCCACTCTCCTCTCCCGCTGCAGATGCTGAATGAGAACATCCAGGTAGCTTCCTTGATCAATGACTCTCTGCAGCAGAAGGTTTACAACATGGCCTTGGAGGAGCTCGAGGCATTTCTAGGCCGGTTAGTGGAGCCCCTCACAATCCTGCCCGTCCTCACAGACCCCGGGGTTGTGGGAGGTCCACGTGCCCCCAGAAGCCTCCCAGCTCCGTGTCCTTGTGGCAGGACTGCTCTGCCTGCCCGTCACAGTCTCCTCTCTGTGTCACAGCCTGCGGGAAGCCCTGGTGCAGTGCGGGAAGGAGCACCAGCAGGACCGGGCCGTGCCCAAGTACTATGTCTCCTACCTCCTGGCCATGCTCAACAACAACCTGGCTCTCAGGTAACCTGCACCAGCACCGTGTAGCTTTTGTAGTAAGCCACCACCCCTAGGGAAGCCACATACTCCCTGTCCTCCTGCAGGACCACTGTCCCCACTGTGTTCCCAGGCTACCTGTACCTCTCCTTTCTCTTGTAGCAACTCTGTCTCCTCCCTGCACCCCAACACTGCCCACAGAGAAGTCCCTGCATCCCTCCGGGCTGCTCTAGACAGGATGCAGAAGAAAGCCTGCCAGCTGCTGCTGGAGGAGCTGCTCCTGGACCTGCAGGTATGTTTGTCCACAGCACTGAGCCTGACAGGGCTGCAACAAACCTGGCCCCAGCAAGAACAGCCCTACAGCAACACCCCAGACATGAGTTATTCCTGCCAGGGATCCCTGCCATGTGCTCCATACCCTGCTATCATCCTGCAGACATCTCTGCCAGCCTGGTTCCCAGGCCTTGATAAACCACCCCATGTCTGTCACCAGCCAGCACTGCCCCATATCACTGGGGCAGATGGTTTGTGGCCCCCAAATCACCAACAGACAGAGACCAGGAGCCAGGCCCCCCCAGGCTGCCTCATGCTCCTTCTTATGGCTGTTTCATGGCAGAAAACCAGCTGAGGAGCGGAGATGTCCGTGTGGAGGATACAAATCCATGTGCAACTGCCCAAGTCGTTTCCTGCAAGTGTAGTCAAATTTAGCTTTCCTGGAGTCTGGACCAAAAATCTGGAATAATTAACAACATTGCTATTTAGGGCTTGAATGCCATGAAAACAAAGGAAGAGCCAAAGGGTGAAGAGCTTGCCGGCAGTGGCCGGGGCCCCAGCAGAGACAGAGGGAATGTGTGCCTGCAGGCAGGAAGACAGGCAAGGACAGCAGGGCAGGAGTTGGAAATCAAAGCCCTCAGCCAAAAACATGCTATGTCTACACAAGGGAAGTGGGGAGGAGTGGAAATTAAAAATAAAATCACAGCAAGACAGGCCAAAAGCGAGTGTGTGAGGAGCAGCTTGCTGCCTACACAGGTGCTGCACTGTGACCCAGATAAAGCCCCAAATGGGCTTCTTAGGGTGTCAGGGAGGGACAGCCCCAGGGGGTTTCCATAGTTTCTTAACCTAGACCACTCTTCTGTTTTTATACTGAGTTTTGTCTGGCAGCAGGGGCTTGGGGCTTTTGCAAGGCAAAGTGGCCGTGCTGCCAGGCAGCAGGTGGGCACCAGCTGAGGGTGTTGTGCCATCCTGAGCTGGCAGCTGCTGCGGGAGTGATGTGACAATGCAGGGCACAGACACGGCTCCTCCGCTTCTTTCAGCCCCTCTGCCTGCAGCTGCCCTCCCGCAAGTGGCTCTCCGGGTCCCAGCTCGTCGGCAGCATGTGTGAAGTGATTGACAAGTATGCAAAGCACTTCTCCCGCGTCAGGAAACCCATCTTCACGGTACCGCTCTTGGAACGGCTGCTTGTCTGTAGGGCAGGGAGGCTGAGCAGTTGGGTGCCATGCTGGGGTGCAGGGTGTGGGAGATTCAGTCACTGCTGGGTTTGCCAGAGAGCCTGTGTCCTCCAGAGCAGTCCAGAGAGCACCACCACACAGAGGTGTTCAGGGTTTCCCCCCAGTCTGGCTGTTTTCTCTGTGCCTTCAGCCAAGGGTCTTCCCAGCAGGTCATCCATGGCTTGGTGTTGTATCCAGCCCTTTTCCTCTTTGCCTTTCCCTGGGGAACTGGGGTCTGACACGCAGGCAGTGCCAGCACTGACAGCTCTCCCCTGCCCAGCTCCTGCTGATGGAGAGCGAGCTGCTGGTGGCCAGCCAGTACCTGCGGGCACTCATGCAGAGGAAGATGGTGTGCAAGAGTGAGGAGGAGCGGGGCCAGCTCTGCGACCGCCTGCTGCAGGACACCACACAGCTCCGGGAGCTCTTCTGTGGCCTGGTGAGAGGGGCCTGGGTGTGCTGGGGAGCCGGGGCTGTGCCACAGCAGGGGACAATCACCCAGCGAGGTCGGTTAAAGGAGCTCACAGCTCACCCCCATCACCCTCCTGCAAGTGGGGTGGGTACATCAGCCCACAAACAAGATGTGGCTGTTACACTCGGGTGGTTGTGAGGCCAAGATGGGAGGAACTGGCTGGATTAGGGACTTGGGGGACCATCACCTTGCCCAGCAGGGATTTGTGAGGCTGCACAGCAGCCCCTGGTGGGTGGGACGTGCTCAGTGGGAAGAAAAGAGCTGCAGAGAACCAGGTCCCCACGTGGGCACTGGGGACCCAGCTGTGTCTCACCAGCCACTGTGGTGACCTCCCCTGGGTCTCACGCCTGGCTGCTTTCCCTCCCAGGGCCTGGATCAGAGCCAGCAGAGCCTGGAGGCCGTCTTTGCTCTGCGGGAGCTGATCTGCCTCAAAGACCCAGCACTACTCAGCCTGGAGGTGCTGGGCTTCATCACCAAGTACCCTGATGCCAGGTAAGGTACCTCCTGCGAGAGGGGGAAGGTACCTGTCCATCCAGGAAAGCCAGTCTGGGGCTGGACCCTGTGAGGTGACATGACAGTGCAGAGCAGGCAGAAACCTGAGCCTTTTCCCCCTTCTCCCTGAGGTTTCCTTTTCTCAAGCTCCAGATTTGAGGTGTTCCTGCAAAGCCCCGAGGGCAAAGAGGTAAAGGAAAAAGGAGTTCTGCTGTGGCAGTCACGTGTCTGGTGCCCAAATAAAGCGCAAGAAATGACAAAACACCAAATTGGAAATGTCAAAACCAAATTCACGTGGTTTGGGGTGTTATTTTCAGGCAAATTTTAAAGTTTACCTGCTGCAAAGTACAGGCTCTCCCCTGGCCTCAGCTTGGCTTCTCCGGATCACGGGAGGTTTGTGGGACACAAGCACTGTGGATGGTGGGGTGGGCCAGCAGCTCGCCCTGACTCACCTCTCACTCTCTGCCCAGCGACGAGCACATCTCCACCTTGCTGGACCTCCGGGGTGACGTCTCCAAGGAAGTGCGGCATGTGGTGCTGGAAATGATGGCTCAGCACCCCCAGGTCCTGCCCGAGGGCTACCGGCCCATCTTCAGCACCATCCTGGTGCCTGTGCCAGAGCTGCCCTTCTGCCTTCGCAAGGGCAAGTGTGCCTGACACTGCCCCTCAGCCAGCTCCCCCTGCCCACTGCCCCGGCACAGGGACAGACCACGGGGGCATCTCTGCAGCTGCACGGGGGGGACGGAGGTGACACGTGGCATCCCCTGCACGCAGCACCTTGTCCTGTGTTGGGGACAGTCTGGGTATGTGCCATCCTCCTCTGGTCCTGCCTCACTGAGCAGACTGTCCCCTGCAAGCACCAGTGCTGGGATACCTGGATCAGGGGAAATCCAGCCTGCAGCTGTTTTGCTGGCCTGCTGGCACAGTGACTGAGGGCTGCTCAGGCCTGGCCTGTTGCCTGCAGGAGGAAGAGATGTTGCAGAGCAGACAAGAGTTTGCAGCTGGGGCAAATCCATGTCTCCATGGGGCTGTAGGGATATTTGGGTTTCTCCAAGTCTCCAGACAGCTCCCTGAGGCAGCAGGTCCAGGCCATGGAGCCTGCTACCATCCCAGCTTCCAGGCAGACTGGAGTCTTACCGGGAGCAGGCTGGCAGGAGGGTTTTAGGCACAGGAGGTCTTCTGGGCTCAGCCCCGAGGTCAGGTGTTGCTACTCCAGCCTGGGCCCTGCATGTCTGGTGGAGAGCAGCTCAGCCAGCTCATCATGGCTCATGGGCATGGAGAAGGGTACCAGGTGGTCTCCCTGCCCTGGGCAGTGCCATCAGCTCTGAGTTCCTACTCACCTGCCAGACTTCCTGGCTCTGGCTCATTTGCCAGTGTCCAAAACAGGACTGGAATCCAAGGCTCTCCACCTGCTGTGTCTGCTCTGTTGAGCATCCTCCTGCTCCAAGGTTCCTCTGTGATGTGCAGCAATGCCCTGAGCACTGGCTCTCCCTCCATCCTCTGCTGCTGCCCGGCCCTTGGCTGTCTCTTCCCCAGGTGCCATGAGGAGATCAGGAGCAGCCTGTGTCTCCACCTACATCCTTGTGCCCAGCCCCTGCAGCGCCCTGGGAGACCTCCACACTCTGCCACGCTTCCTGCCCTGGAGTGGGCTGCATCCTGCTGTCCTTGTGTGGAACCACTGCTGGAAATAAAGGCCTGAACTGTGCACTTGCTCTTCAGTGTCCTCAGGCTCTGCTCCCCAGAGGGTCAGGACAGGGATCAGGGCATGTGGGTGGCATGGGAGGGGGGGAAGCATCCTTGTGTTCAGCATCACCCCAGGGCTGGCTCCCTGCACCCAGTGGCACCCTGGGAGGTCACCCAGGGACATGGGGGATGATGGAGACACTGCATAACCCAGGTCCTGGATGGAGGGGGCTGTACTGCTCCCCAGCCCTGGGGTCAGGCAGCTGTAGTGCTGGGGGGATGCTCAGTGGTGGGCTCAACCTCACCTTGGGGAGGTGCCCACTGCCCTCCTTGGGGCTCACAATGTGCTGGCCCAGCTGGCCACAGCTCCCACCTGCCTGGAAGGTATCTGCCCTCCTCACCGGCCCCCACTGGCTCTGGGACTCACTCACCTGTCCCAGGGACGTGGTTCAAAGGGTGGCCCTGAGCCCTGGGAACATCCAGCTGGGACCAGCGCTTGCCTAGGCCAGGACTTCATGGCCACATGGAAAAAAAGCTCTAGTGCCAACAGATCTGAAACAGATCTGGCACAGGATGACCTTCCACACCCCAGGCACTGGTGCCCATCCCAGCACGTCCAGCCCCACTGCTACCCCAGCTGTGTGCCCATAAGCAGCCCCCCATCACAGCCCTGTGAACCCTCTCCAGCTTCACAGGCTGCAGTGAGAACTGACACAGCTCGTTACAGCAGCAGCCCAAGTACCCCAGGTGTCTTTTGACAGTCCCTTCCCACATCCCTGTTTGCGAGGGGCACGGTGTGTGCCAGGCTCGGCCTGTCACTGCTGCCCACAGGGGGACCTTGACCAGCCTAGCTACAAGCCACGTGGCCTCCTGGCCGCTATAAAGCTCGTGGCCCCCAGGGGCTCAGCCTGAATCTGTCCAGGATGGCGTTCCTGTGGGTAGTTGCTTGCCTGGCCCTTGCCAGCACTGTCTCCGGTAAGTGCTGTCCTGCTGGGTGCAGGGAGGTCCTCGGGGTGCAGCAGGACACCGGGGAGGGGGGCACAGAGCCACCTGCACCAGTGCAGGCAGCCCCCAGATAGGAGCCCTGAGCTTTCGGGGTCACCCTTGTGCCCGTCTGCCTGTCCCGCAGGGTGTGGGGTGCCCAATGTCAGTCCCTCAGTGGCCTACAGCGAGAGGATCGTCAATGGGCAGAACGCCGTGCCCGGCTCATGGCCCTGGCAGGTGTCCCTGCAGGTACAGCACCGTCCAACCCCCGGGCAGGGGCAGTGCCCTGAGCACTGCGGTGGCACAGCACAGCACAGCCGGGCGCTGTGGCTGGGAGGTGGGTGGGCACAAGGGGAGCCCTGACTGTCCCCAGCCTGGGGGTGCTCAGCCTGCCCAGCCCCAGCTCCTCCTCCCTCTTTGCTCCCCAGACCTACACAGGATCCCACTTCTGCGGCGGCTCCTTGATCAACCAGTACTGGGTCGTCACAGCTGCCCACTGCAACTTCAAGTAAAGAACCGTGCCTGGCCAGCCCACACTGGTGCCACTGTCAGGGGTTTGGAGCATGCTGGGCATTGCTGAGTACCACCTGGGTCAGCCCCAAACGCCTGAGCAGCCCTGGGCTTCCTCCCCAGCTGTCCCCATGGTGGCTTCCCTTGGGTTCCTGTCCCACCCTGGGGTGCTGGATGCCCCACATCCCCCTGACTCTCTCTTACCTCTCGCAGCCCGAACGCCCACGTCGTCGTCCTCGGGGAATATGACCTGAGCTCCAGCGCCGAGGCTGTTCAAGTGAAGACTGTGTCCAGGGTGAGCGGGGCTGGTCCCGGGACGGGGCTGCAGCTCCACGCTGAGGCTGCTCCCGCGGGCAGGGATGAAGTGCTACGGTGTTTCTCTGCAGGCCATCACCAACCCTGGCTGGAACCCCAACACCATGAACAACGACATCACCCTGCTGAGGCTCTCCACGCCCGCCCAGCTGGGATCTCGTGTGGCCCCCATCTGCCTGGCCCCCGCCAACCTGGTTCTGCCCTACAACGCCCAGGCTGTCACCACCGGCTGGGGACGCACCAACCCCAACTGTACGTGTGCTGTGGCTCCAGGGAGGGCTGTGTGTGGCTGCTGTTCTTCCTGGGGGCTATGAGGGTCCAGGGCTGCCTGGAGGAAGACACATAGAATCATAGAATCGACCAGATTGGAAAAGACCTCAGAGGTCATCAAGTCCAACCCTTGATCCAACCCTGCCGTGGTTACCAGACCATGGCACTGATGCCACATCCAGTCTCATCTTAAAAAACCTCCAGGGACGGTGACTCCACCACCTTCCTGGGCAGCCCATTCCAATGTCTGATTACTCTCTCCTGCTCGAGGAAGAAGGGGTACATTGGCACAGAGGGGAAAAGCGCTTTGCATGGCAGCACCCGTGTATTCGGGAGCACCAGCAGGAGCTTGCCCAGGGCACCCATGTGCTTTCCAGGAGACCCACCAACACTGAGGTGATTTAATGGTGCTTCTTCCCCTAGATCAAGCCTTGGCAACGTCCCTGCAGCAGGTAGTCGTGCCCCTGATCTCCCAGACCCAGTGCACGCAGTACTGGGGCAGCCGCATCACCAGTGCCATGATCTGCGCCGGCGGGGCCGGTGCCTCCTCCTGCCAGGTAAGGAGACGAGCTCCTGCTGCACCACAGGGTGGGTGGAGGAAGAGAAACGTGGAGTCTTGCTGACCTCCCACTGCATCACAGGGAGGGTGGAGGAGGGGGGATACGTGGCATCTTGCATCTGTGGAGCCACAGACTTAAGCTCCAGCACCTGGCTGTGCGCAGGGGAGCAGTGGCTGGGGTGGCAGGGACCGGTCTGGAGCACGTGCCAGGAGCACTGAGCACGAGTCTTCTCTGCAGGGTGACTCCGGTGGACCTCTGGTGTACCAGAGTGCCAACGGCTGGATTCTGATCGGCATCGTCTCCTGGGGAACCTCCAACTGCAACATCTACACTCCGGCCATGTACACCCGCGTCAGCCAGTTCCGCAACTGGATTGACTCCATCATCGCTTAGGGGTGAAGCTGCCGGCACTGTGATCCCTTCACTGGGATTAATAAAGTATCACAGTTGGCTTGTGCCAAGCGCTGCCTCTGCCTCCTTTCTCCTCATGGTGCAGACCAGGGTGGAAGGCACACGGGGGAGCCTGGGCCACCCCAAGCTCCTCTCCTGAACCCACGAACTTCCCAGAGCTGGAACTTCCCTGGGACCCAGGGGGAGGTGTGAAGCCAGGACATGATGCTTGGGCAGAGGGGGAGCAGGGCTGGCTGTGCCTCAAGGGCTGCTCAAAGGGTCTTCAAGCACAAGTACCTACACCCTGGCACCAGCCCAGAGACCACCACGGCACTGAGGGGGGAGAAGGGTCCTTCCACTGACCCATGTGTGAGATGCTACCAGGGAAGGGACTGTGGAGCTGCAGCTCACCAGGCTCAGCACCAGAAAGCTCAGCTTGCAATGGAGGGTGGATACTGGTGGGTTCACAGGAACCTAAAAGATCCCTGCATGCAGTTTAAAGCTGTGACTTGTGCAGCAGCCTGGGAACACAGAGCTGAAAGGGAGAAGTGCCGAGAGCAGCTCCAGGTCTTGGGGAAGGTGGAAGGGGGAGGCTGGAGAACCTGCTGCTTCACACCTGCAGATCTGCCAGGTAACAGAGTGGGAAACTGAAGGCCACCCCAATGGAAAATCTGAAGCTGAAAACAAAATTCAAGGTCAGGCAACAGGTTCTCACCCAGATGTTGAGACAATGGCTGGTGCAAAAAAAAAAATAAATAAAGTCTTGTGTGACATGGGAGCAACAAGACACATGTTCAATGAATTACAACCCAGTTTCTAGCTGCTCAAAATAGAGCTGGTGATGGGACACTGTGGAGAGAAGCAGGATCAGACTGTCCCAACATGAGGCATGGGGGTTGTTTTTCCTTAGCAGTGATGTGAATGCAATACAAAAACTTTCCTGTGTGAATCACAGCCCCTAAAATGTTGTAACCACTCTATCAAGCAGTTGCAGAGAGAATGTGATGCTACACAGGGACACACCCATGGGAAGGGGCATGGAACGTCAGTGGAGGGCAAAGACAAATAGCCCAGCCTGTATAATTGAGTTTAAAAAAGATCTGCTCAAATAAAGCCCAGGGCTGACAAATTTTAGTTTGGTAGGACAAAATTTAGCTTCATTTAGTAGTCTGCTCTGCAGGGAATTCCTAACTGACCTTAAAGTCAGGTGAATGTCAGAGATGTGGGAATGGGCCATGTGGGCAGAGGAAACTGGTGGCTACAAGGAGCTTCAAACAGGAATTGAACAATTGCAGCACTATGGGTCATCTGCTCCGTGTGCTCAGGTCACTGTCAGCCCTTCCACCCTGGGGACAGGGTCCCCTGCCCCTGAAAAATCCCCTCCTTTCCAGGAGGAGGTGGCTCAAGAGGGGTGTGCACTGATCATTTGATATTACAGGTTTTGCTCAGAGTGAAACTGTAGAGGTGACAAGTGGTTGTGTGCAAACCAGAGCATTTCTCTGGCCCAGTTTACCACCCTGCAGCCAAAGAAAAGTGAAGACAATGTCCCAAAGTGCCTGTTAAGCCTCCCAACCCTGCCTTCCAGCAGCAGGCTGTCACCCAGAGCATCCCATGGACATCCCAGCCCTGCACAAGGTCTCCCTCGGGTAGCTGCTGCGACAAATCAGCAAACTATTTACCTTCTTGCTGTGACCCAAGAACATGTTGGAGAGGTGAGCAGGTCCTGGCTTTCCATGTGTTTACTGACCATCATTCCCAGCAGTGAGCCCACGGGTGATCCAGGAGGCAGAAGTAACGACAGCAGAGCCACGGGGTACACAGAATACATGGACATGTTTTAGCAGACTGAGTACACCAAATAAATAATTCTGTACACTCTAATTGTAACATTATGGACTAATTACAATGATTCCAACCTCATCCAACATGACAGTCCCTAGAGTAAAGCCAGGACTCAAAAGGCAAGGCACAGAACGGGACACTTCTCAAAACA